ATATATATATGCAAATGTTAAATAAGACCAGTAAGTAAAGGCAAATAATGTATGAAAATTCTTTATGCTTATTTGAAGGCAAAAGCTATTTCTTTTAGCCAATGAGCAATTGCTCACAATCGTGTTGTAAATACTCACCAGTGACCGGTGAGGCCATGACAGCATGGCTGGAACCTGCAGTGGTGGGGTGATAGAGTGAGGCCAGGTTGTTGGGCGTGTAGGTGCGGAGCAGGTTGATGACATTCCAGTCAGCCTGCATGCTGTTGGGAGATGCAGTGGGAGTCACCTTAACCGAACCCAAGGGCGAGTTCGCCTGCAACGAGGTTTTCGCATTTCTGCTGGAGGGCACGATTCGGTTGAAATCCTCTCCAAGCCGTCCAGATGCAGTATGTAGAGGCTCAAAGGACTTGTGTCTCTTGCTAGAGGGTTCGCCGACGTCCGTTTGCGTCATGTTTCGGAAACGGTCCGAAAGGCAAAGTCTAGCTGGATCTGTGGGCCAAACCATTCCGTTTTTGCCCATGCTTGCCCTCCGATTCATCTCCTGATTCAGGCCAGGCCTCTGCTTGAAGAACTCTCGATCAATTACCAAAGGCACTTTTAATTTTCTGCTAGATTCTTGCTCTGAGATTCTAGAAAGCGAGCTGGTTGCATCCGATTCCCTGCCCCTTTGGCCCTCCTGGTGCTGATCCCTCCAGTGATCTTTCGCAGGAGAAATCTTAGACATCTGAGGTTGTTTCGGAAGCTTCTCCCCAAGTTTTTCTGGCTGGCGCAATGGGGATGCGGTCCGACGGGGATGCTTCCTGTTGATGTGAGGCAAAGGAGTGACATCTTTGCCCTCAAGAGCCGGCGGGCAACCAGTGTACCGTTTCTGTTTCTGAGGTCCCCTGTATCCATTCTTCTTGACATCCAACTTCTTGTGGATGAGCTTTTTATGCATCAAGAGAACCTCAGGGTAAAGGGTTTCATAGGAGCAAGAGGTACACATGTTGGTCGATAACGGGTTTCTGGGTACTGAGGTAGCAGATACAGGAAGTGGCACTTTGAGGGACAAATTCAAAGGTCCTTCGGTAGCCTCCTTCTCCATCTTCGGGTTTACCGGTAACGGGTATTTTTTGTTGACCTCACCCACAGGGGTGTAAGGAGCTGCGCCGGGAGAACTAACATACTCTTTCTTGACTTGAATGGAAGGACTTGTGCTGTTAATAACGGCTTTGCTCATGCCAGGTTCATGTTTAACACTGGCAGGCAGAGGTTTAGGAGCAAGCCATTGTTTGGCTGGTTTTAAGGCTTGTTTCTCATTTACATTCTTGGGAGGTTCAATGGCCTTGATGATACTTCTTGCAGACGATGTTGCAGGAATGTTCGGGATTTCTGTGAAAGGTTTGTCCTTGTGACGTCTGTCTAGATGGTACCTCAAAGATGTTTTCTGTGCTGCGGCATAGTCACAGTATTCACATTTATAAGGTTTTTCACCTGTAAAATGAGATGTCAATGTTTAAATAAGAAAGAAAATAGGCAAACTACTTTCATCCTGGAATACAAGCCACTGCAGACATAAAGCAAGGCAAAATTAGACCCAACACAATGTAAAAAGACAATACAACAAAGAACTAACCAGTATGTGTCCTGAGATGAATATTGAGGTAATAGTTCGAGCGGAAAGTCTTGCCACAGTAACTGCATTTTCTTGGAGCAAGAATTTTCAGCTTAATTTTTCCCGATCCTTCCTCAATATTTTCTGTAGGAAAAGTGACGTGTTTAGTTTAAGCCTTAAATGATACATGGTATTCTAGAATAGAAATTTTAAACTGCAAGCTGCACTACAGAATGTCCATAAGTCAAATATGCAAGAGTTTTCTCTGACCAGCAGAGGGAGCCCTAAGTTCTGCACCGGCATAAAAAGGTACCATTGAACCCTTGAGACAGAAGTAGCTTCTTCTGAAGCAAAGAGTGCACATTTCTGGGTAATTATGGTGTACATAATTTGAAAAGATGACAATCTTGAGTGCCCTGTGGATCAACTTCTGACAGATGACAATAAGTTATTTTTACCGAGCAATTAAAACGAATATAAAAGCGAAAACAATTCCAAGTACTTGGGTAATAATACCTGGATTAAAGGCGTCAACTGGCACTCCCTCTTCTGAGCCATCCTCTGAGTACTCCTCTGCTCTGTCAAGAGATGAACTACTACAAGAGCCTACGCTTTGGGCCCTCCCATCTACAGGCATGGTGGGACTCTCTGCTCCCCCTCGTTCCTTCTTGTGGATTCGAGAATGGAGGACCAACTGATGGTACGTCCTGAAGATCTTGCCGCACTCTTCGCAGTTTGTTGGCTTGTCCTTACGAATCAGACTCTTTTGCTCAGGTGATGGGGAAGGAGTCTCGCTAGGCTTGAGTTCACTTCGTAGGCCTCGCCTAGGTTTATCTCCACCGCCAGAAGCCCAAATGGCCCCCAGTTCCTCTTTTTCAGAACCAGAGTCCTCGTTGTCAGAGTTGGAGTCTGCATTGAGCTCCTTGGCCAAGTTCGGACCTGCTGCGATCTTGCCTCTGGTGGCCAACTGCCAGGCCTGGTAGGTGTTGAAAGGATCAAGTTGGGATATCCAGCGTCCAGATGGATGATTCCGTTCAGCTTCTTCTCTCGCACCCGAAGGAAGCAATTGTAGGGTCTGCAAAAATGCCTTCTGAGAGACAGGAACCTCCTCAGCAGGGTGGCTGTCGGAGGAGACGTTCTCATCCACTTCCAGTTCACGATTGTGGACCTTGCTGTGCTCAGCCAGAACTTCCTTGTTCAGGAAAAAGAAGCCACATACCATGCACATTTTGTACGACGTGAGCACAGGTGATGGGGGCTGGTCTTGGATGACCTCATTAACAGTGGCTGGGCTCTCCAGGTCCTGGTTTTTGTGTTTAGCTTTTCCGCCATGGGTTCTCATGTGGTTTTTTAGGAACCATGGCTCTTTGAAACGACGTCCACAGAGGCCGCAGCAGTACGTGAAAGAGTCCTTGTGTTTCCGCATGTGCGTTTCCAGCTCGGTTGCATCTGCAACGGCCTGGACGCACACAACGCAACAGAGCTCCTCATTCTTTTCCACAGCTGGGCAGGTTTTAGAACGAGCCCTTTCGCTGGGAGTTAAGAATTCCGCTTCCACACGCAACACTGCGGGAGCATGGAATGTTGTGGGATGCTGGGAAAGAAGGTGTGGTCCCAGGTCTTCCTGATGCAGGAAAGTCTCCTCGCAAAACATGCACTCTAGAGGTAGGCTACTTTCTGCCAACGTGTCTGGTTTTTCCACCACGCTGGTGTGGGGCGTCATGCTAGATCCAGTACCAGGCATGCTTGCATTGCTGTGGCTGTGAATGTCATGACCTAGTCCATCAGGACTTTCCACATATGGGATCAATGGGTGGGTAGGCATGTCAGCAGGAATTTACTTGGCTATTTCTTTATTATTTAGTTTCAGTTTTAAGCTTGTATGAAACAATATGTTGAAAGTTACGAGACATGTGAAAGAATTGTCATTCATTTGAAATTCTCATGAAGGACATACTCTTAACACTTGGAACACTACCATGGAACTTGCCAAATTTTCCTAACAGACTTCTTAAATTTCAGCACAGTGCGTATACTAAGAGTTTCAGTACACCCGTATGATCCATCCTGTACAAGAGAAGCAGTCGAGGCTTGCCAGTCACTGCCAGGTAATGGGGCATTAACTTGATCAGTTGATTTCTTGTGATTCACACAGAGGAATTGTCCTGACAGGCAAAACCTGAAATGAAAGAAAAAAAAGACAAAATCAGGTGTGGCCAGTTCTACTCAGGACTACACTTACAAATACAGATGATTACATTAATGGGGGAGAGAAAACAAGTGCTCATCTCTTTTATACTGTTACTTGAGATGAAACATGATCTGTCACATGGATCATTAAAAAAGATTAGCAACCACATAGGGCTCTAAGTTTGATGTTTAGCTTAAGTTTCTAAAGTAAACTGGAGTCAAAAGAAAAGTTGTTTTAAGTACACTGCAATTTGGCATACAGCAAATATAACTTACTCACTGCTAAAAACAGAAAAAGCATTCAACATTTTGTAGTTATAGCGCCGTTATTTCAATTTTGAAAATATGCATCATTTAAGGTAACACAGACTGAGTAAAACACAATAGTAACCTTGTGGTTAAAGATCTGGGCCAACAGCCAAAAGTTGTGACCGAATTCAAGTTATCTGAATTGGGAATGGACAAGCAGCTAAAGGGTTGCTGAGAGTACAGTGTTAGTCTATAATAATTGTACCCTTGAGAAAAGTCCTCTTTGCCAAGTTATTCTAATGGGAATGTCACTGCACCATGACCAAGACATGTTTTATTAAGTTTTAAGGTTAATATTATATTGTATATACAAGTTTGTATAAGAGATGCTGTAACTTATATGCTGCAATTGATCTCCATTTTATTGTTCTTCACAAATTTTAATCAACTTTTTTATTTCACTAGATCAATTTTAATGGTCCAGGAGAGTGACAAACCAACTTTTAATTGTACAAATATCCATGTAGCAATCTCAATTGATTAGAGGTCATAAAAAACTGCATTACCAATCACAATACATTATAAAAATATATTATAAAAAATAAGCAGCCATTTTATAGCTTTAATGCTGCCAACTAGCATTTGACCTTCAAGTCCTTTGATGTCATTTGTCTTGTTTACATAAATTATAAAAACAAAATGGAAACAATTGTTAGAATCAACTAAACAGGACAGTAATATATATATATATAGCAGCACATCCATTTCTGAAGGATCATGAGACACTGAAGACTGGAGTAATGATGCTGAAAATAATTTCACAATATTACTGTTTTATTTCTGTATTTTTGATCAAATAAATGCAGCCTTGATGAGTATAAGAGACTTCTTTAAATAAACATTAAAAATCTTTCTGATCCCAAACTTTGAAATGGCAGTGTAAATACATACGCACATACATAGTGCCCAAATGCTTACTGAAAGTATTATTTCAGTAAATATAAATACATCACAAACAAAGAAAACACTGTCTGAGTTCAAATAAATTGCACACAGATCCGGCATCAACTTTTACACAACATGAAGGGAAAACTTTTAGAAAGATTTTCAGGGACAAAACTGATGAAATGCTGTTCTTTAGATGCATTACTGTGAGGCAACAGGAAGCCAGAGTCGTATGCCTATCTACAGCGGTGTCCTTCACAATATCTGTGAAACCTCACTCGTGAGGTCTAACGTGGAGTCACAGCATTGTTCTGCAACCTTTTAGCCTATCTTCCATGCTGAAACAAGCCAATAAATATGAGGAATCACATTTATCTTTTTCTTAGGATATTATATAACACCCAATATAACACCCAACTTTCGACACTCTTATTCAAGCCTAAATGCGAAGTTTCAGGCATCTTGCCAATCTTTTTAAACTGCACACACAAGTGCTTATTATACAATACAAAGCAATACCTAAAACACAAACAAAAAAAAAGAATCAATCAATCGCAATCATACAATGCCAACAATCCCCTGCTATTCCCTACATACACGCATAGTTCAACTCACTTTTAGGGAAACACAACAAACAAACAAACAAAAAACAGGCTTCGCTAAGGTTAGGTACTAAAAAAAGAGAAACCGAGGCTGAATAAAAAAAAAAAAAAGAGAGAGAGAAACGGAGGCTGAAAAGGAAGCTTTTGCACATCAGATATCTACTGAATAACAACTGTTAAAAAAGCAAGTGAAAAAGAAAACAATCAGAATTATTTTACATTATGCAGACATACTCTAATGACATGCCTCGCCATGCTGATTTCAACAAACAATGCCGTTTGCTTCTCAAAATCCTTCAGATAGTAATCCTGAGCAAAGCCATTTACCTTCAAATGCAGAAAAGTTCTATTTAGATAACCTAAATAGTACAAAATGAAAAAGTTAATGGCCCCACCTATGCTTGGGTCATTATAATAGCCTAAAACACGGTTAGTTGACATGCTGAAGAAGAAACAGCTAGAGACCAGCTGCTGTTTATCTCACTCTTTTGTTTGGGCTTTGCCATGCAACCTGTTCACAAGAACAGCGTGTTTGTTGGCCCCCAAACCATCCAAATTTCTTAAAAGTTCTTAAAAAGAGAGTGTCAGCTACACTTATAGCAACTGTCTTATAGAACAATAAATGGAGCGGCTGGCTCATGCAAATAAGTGAAAAACAGGGGGGGAAAAAAAAAAAACAGTTAGAGAAAAACAACCGCCACTCAATAATTATCTCAGAAAAGTGCTCATACCATTATATACATACACTCTATATGCCTAAAACATAATAAACCATGATATGCATAAACTTTATTTGCGATATATATTATATACATGTATTATATACATTGCATATAAAGATTATGCATATAATGGTTTATTATGTATATGCATGTGTGTGTGTGTATATATATATATATATATGTATATGCATGTGTGTGTGTATATATATATATATATATATATATATATATATATGCATGTGTGTGTGTATATATATATATATATATGTATGTGTGTGTGTGTGTGTGTGTGTGTGTGTGTGTATACACACACACACACACACGGTATGTAAAACAAGGTATTCAAACACAATAACGTTACTACTGGGCTCATTTGACGTCGAGCACAAATGGAGAGATGTGGCTATAGCTGCTAATTAAAACGACGGTTACCGACCTAATAATGCAACGTTTATTAGTATCGTTTTTTCTAAAGCATAATAGAAAGTATGCAAACGACGCGCGTTATAAACGAAATCATGCTTTATATAAATAATAACGCCTCGTGTGTGGAAGCGTGTCTTTAATGTGGCTGTAATTTCCTGACACGTGATCATTCTAACTTGATCAGCAGCTTTAGTAGTTATTTTACTACATACCTCCTCGCCAATATACCTGCATGTACTCTTTTTCTCTTTTTGTTTCCTTTTTGGAATGTGCTACAAAACTCCTCCCTAACTACAGTTAAGATGTTTTTACTACAGAACAATGAGATCACTATGTGGTCAAGTAGAAGTGAAATTACTCGAATAAATCAATAAAACCCATCAACATAGCTTGAAGGAAGAAACAATAAAAACAAGACGGAATAGATATTCAAACAAAAACATAACATAAAATCATTATTATGACAAACCAGGCCAGACTTATACAAAAGTTCCTTCTTCTTTGTAGCTATTAGAATAACTTGTTTAGCTATGGCTGCATCAAAAGCTATTATGGTATAATATAACAGGGCGGATATCAAAATACAACTTTATATCTTCGTTTTTGGGGGATGGCTGAAACTTTTGTTAAGTTGTTTTCTATTCTTTCCCCTTTCAAGATAAGGAAGAACAGCAAACGATATTTTAATGCGGTTCTTGCCAAACAAAAAAATACACCAACTTTATCATCCTCTTCTATTTCGTTTCATATATCAGAGTATCGGTGTTTAACTAAAGCATATGTGTCCGTTCGTTACATTTGGTGAGGTTAGATTAACCTGTGCTCGTGCTGATAATAGAAATTTGGCTAACGACACGCTAGCGATGAGTGATATAGAAAATAAGGAACTCACCCTCCATACCTACCATTATGTTCAGACTTCGTCAGGTATTCTTATTGTGTGCCAGCAATCACTATAGTAACTAATAATATCTATGGGATGTTAGTTTGGTAGCTTCTTTCTTTCTAGAAATCTGATTAGCTGAGTTAGCCAATTGTTAGCCGGACGAAATGCCTTGCTTTCAATGTTTGCAAATCACTCACTATGCAGCTGTTGCGTTCAGAGAGAGAGAGAGGGCGCGCTCTCGTGGGTAGCCTTGGATGTCCGATTCGTTAACGCACGGTTCTTTGTGAGTCGAATCTTTTCAAGGAATCAATCAAAAACACACGCAGCCAGAACAGCAGCGTGATTATCGAATGAATCGCTCTACAGAGTCGGTTCATTTTAGTGAATCAAACACATGTTTAGTTTGATTCCCGTGAACAAGTGACTCGTAGGATCCCGTTCTTTTTTAGCGAATCAAAACACTTATGAATCAATCCCAACGAATAAAGTACAGTATGTGGAAAATAATGTTTTTTTAACCTTAAACCGCATAAACACATTTCATTACACCAAATACACAAAATAAAGTTCTTTTTAGCAGCATCATATGACCCCTTTATTAAGTTCGATATTATGCATGTGAATAAAGCGTCAGTGTCCCCATCCCCCATATTTCCAAACCCAGCCCTCATGGAAAGGAAGATGCAGCTCTTGGGAATCTCCCTAAGGCTCTTTGCTTTTGCTTCGTTCTTGAGGATTTAAATGCCATGCTATTTTATTATTTTGCCCAGAGAAATAAAAGAGAGCCTCATTGGTTTGGTGTTTCATCTATAAAGGAAACATATAAGTTAAGTTGTTATTTGATACAGTAAGAAGTGCTATAATAGCAGTTACATAGACTTGTTCTTTTTACATGAAGAATAGCATCATTATAATAGATAGAACGATAGAACAATAGATATATAGATAGATGTTTTTCCATTACTCATTCAAATAATTGATGCAATAACAACTTAAGTTTAGTCGCTGCCTTAAATTTCCAAGTATAATCTTGTGTAATTGAAAAACTTGTAATACTATATTATTATTATTATTATTATTATAATAATAATTATTATTATATGCAGTTTGGAAATTATAATTGTATGCAATTTAAGGCAGCAACAAAACTTTTTTTAATCTTTTAATTTGCATTTTCATATGATGGAGAATATTACAACTCTGTATACATATTACATATACATATTACGACTGCATTTTAGTGTCGAGTAAAAAATAAATATATCTGAGATTACAAGATTAAAATCATAAAAAATAATTTAACAATAAATTTAAAATTGTGAGAATGAAGTCATAGCCATATGAGATTAAAGTTGAAATATTTTGGGAATAAAGCCGTAGCATTATGATATTATTATAATATTAATGCAAT